AGTGCCACGCCGGTTCCCGTGCCGTGGCCCGCTTGCACGGCCGGCCCGCCGCCGAGAAGCCGGCGCGGGCGCGCGCGTATGACTGCCGCGGTCACCCGAGGCGCGCAGGTATCCTGGATATTTAGCAACCCGAACACCTCGAGCAGGGACGGCAGCTGAGGGAGGAGGGAGGAGGGAGGAGGGAGGATGGAGGAGGGAGGAGTGGGGCGAGGAGGGAGGAGGGAGGAGGAGGAGGGAGGAGGGAGGGGAGGAGGGAGGAGGAGGAGGAGGAGGGAGCAGGAGGAGGTGGAGGAGGAGGAGGAGGAGGAGGAGGAGACAAAGGAGAATGAGGAGGAGGAGGAGGAGGAGGAGGGGGATGAGGAGGAGGAGGGGGATGAGGAGGAAGATGAGGAGGAGGAGGAGGAGCAGGAGGAGGAGGAGGATGAGGAGGGGAGGAGGAGACAACGGAGGAGGATACCCGCAAGGGCAACCGGTTCGGCGTGCTCGTGAAAGACGAGGCTGGCAACCACCCGCGGTTGCTCTTCTACCAGCTGGGGAAGGCGATTCTATATCCCCCCTCCTTCGAAAAGTCGGCTGAAAGGCGGAATCTCGAGTGAGTTGACCCGCTTGTATTTCCGCCTTTCGCCGCTCCGTTTTTGATCTCTCCCATCTCTCTCTCTCTCTCTCTCTTTCTATTCCACAAAGGCTTTGTCTACGGGATTCTTGCTTGTCTTTGAAGAGCAGGTAGGTGCCCAGCCTGGCTGGCTAGCCTTTATCGGGGTTGCCAGAAACTGCTTGGCCTTTTTCGGGTTGCTCGGTTGCCCGTTTGCCCCTCCTTCATTGGTTGCCCGGTTGCCTGGTTGCCCGGTTGCGCCTGGTTGCGCCCGGTTGTCCTGTGGCCAGGTTGCCAGGGTGCCCGAATGCCCGCGTTGCCCGTGTTGCCCAGTTGCCCATGCTTGGTTGCCTGATTGCCCAGGTTGTTTGGTTGTCCAGGTGCCAAGCAATGCAGTCCACAGCAACGCAAAGACAAGTAACGCAAAGCAATGCAGTGCAAAGCAAAGCAATGGCAAGCAATTCCATGCAGTGGCAGGTCATGCCAGGTAGCGCCAAGCAATGCCAAACAATGCCAAATAAAGCAACGCAGAGCACAAAGACACGAAGCAAAGTAGTGCTAAGCAATGCCTAGCAGTGCCAGGCAATTCCAGGCAATGCCAAGCAGTGCCAAACAGTGCCAGACAATGTCAAGCAACGCCAAGCAACGCAAAGCAATGCCGAGCAATACCAAGTAAAACCAATTAATGCCAAACAGTGGCAAGCAATGAGAAGCAATACCAAGCACTGGCAGTCAATGCTGAGTAGTGCCAAGCAGTGCCAAGCAACGCGATGCAAAGCAGAGCAATGCACAGAAATGCAAAGCAAGGCAAAGCAGGGCAACTCCAAACCACGCGAACCAATGCAAAGCAATTCAGAACAATGCCGAACATGTCATGCAATGCCATGGACAAGCAAACGATGTACAACAAAGCAGAACCAAGCAGTTCCAAGCAGCGCAAAGCAATGCAGAGCAAGGCAAATCATTGCAATTCAATGTTAAGCAACGCCGATTAATGTCAAGCAATGCAAAATATTGCAAAGCAATGCAACTCAATGCCAAGCAATGCAAAGCAATGCTAAGCAATGCCAAGCAATACCAAGCAAAGCCTAGCAACGCCAGGTAATGCAGATCAATGTCTTCTTGTATTCGTTGTTTAGTGAGCTTTCCTCTAAGTGGGGCCGCGCTGGGTTTATCTGAATATGTGTTTATAGGGTGTGTATCTGCAGAACGGTACATTTGATCGAGGACGCCGGCGGCGCATCACCGGCCGCTCCCTGGGAGTTTGCCGAAGATCGCGCAGCATCGAAAGTCGTGACGTGGCGCGGCCCATCCCGCCACCGTGCTTGGGTTTTGGGTCGGAGTCCTCGTGGACGCTTCTTGGGGTCTCCCGAGAGGGCTCTCGGGGCCTCTGCGGGGGAGTTTAGGGCCTCTTGAGGGCCTCCTGGGGGCTTCTTGTGAGCCTCTTGGGGGCCTCTTGGGGCCTTTGGGGGCTCTCTTGGAGCCTCTTGGGGGCCTCCTGGGGGCCTCTGAGAGCCCCCTGGGGGCCTCTTGGGACCGAAAGCTCAAAATGTTCATTCGGGTTCCCCTTCTGAGCGCCCTCTTGGGGCCGTCCTGGGGCCTCTCTTAGGCCGTTCTGGGTGCCTCTTGGGCCGTCTTGGGGCCCTCGTGCGCCGTCTTGGAGCCCTCTTGGGGGCTTGTTGGGCCGTCCTGGGGCGATCTTGGGGGCCTCTTGGGCCGTCTTGGATCTTGGAGCGTGGGTAAGCCGAAATGGCGAGAACGCGAAAATCCTTCAAAAACCATACAAAAATCAATGATTTTTGCATGTTGGGGCTCTCTTGGGGGTGCTCTTGGCCTCTTGGGCCGTCTTGGAGGCGTCTTGGGCCGTCTGGAGGCCATCTTTGGCGTCTTGGAGCGATCTGGAGCCGTCTGGAGGCTCTCTTGGACTGCTCGGGACTCTCTAGGACTGGCTTGGGGCGCCCTTGGGTCGTCGCCGGGCCGTTTGAGACCTTGAAGGGGGGGGGGCCGGCGGGGGGCCGGCGGCAGAGTGGGGCCCCCTCGGAGGGACTCTGTCAAAGAGGTCTTGCACGGCCCACACCGCAGGGCGGGAGCGGCCGGATCTAAAGGCTGCCGCCTCTGCCGCCGACCCCTCAGGCGTGGTGGAGGCGTGGTGGGGGGTCCATGAGGATTTTTGCAGAGTGGGTGGCCCCAAAACGCATGCCCAGAGGCCTCGTGGAGGCGTGGTGGGGGAGTCCCGAGATGATTTTTGCAGAGTGGGTGCACCCAAAAATGCCGAGAGGCCTCCGGAGGCTGGCGGTGTCAAGCGTGGTGGAGGCATGGTGGGGGTGGGTTCTGGGACGATCTTTGCAGAGTGGGTGGTGGGCCTAAAGTTCAGGCCCAGAGGCCTCCCGAGGCTGGCGGTGTCAGGCGTGGTGGAGGCGTGGTGGGGGGTTCCCGGGACGATTCTTGCAGAGTGCATGGGCGGGCCCAGAATTTCATGCCCAGAGGTCCCAGAGGCTGGCGGTGTCAGGCTCGGTGGAGGCGTGGTGGGGGGGGCCTGGGACGATTTTTGCAGAGTTGGTGGGCCCAACAACTCATGCTGAGAGGTCTCCAGAGACTGGCGGTGTCAGGCGTTGCTCTGGGACGATCTTTGCAGAGTTGGTGGCCCCACAAAGCTCATGCTCAGATGGCGGTGTCAGGCGTGGTGGAGGCATGGTCGGGTGGGTCTGGGGACGATTTTTGCTGATTGGGTGGTCTGAGAAAAAACGCATGCGCAGAGGCTCCGGAGGCTAGCTGTGGCAGGGTGGTGAAGGCATGGTGGGGGAGGTCCGGGGACGGTTTTTACAGCCCCAAAAACTGATGCCAGAGGCTTCTGGAGGATGGCTGTGGCAGGCGTGGTGGAGGCATGGTGGGGGGTCCCGGGACGGTTTTTGCAGAGTGGGTGGCCCCAGAACCTCATGCCCAGAGGTCTCCCGAGGCTGGTGGTGTCAGGCGTGATGCAGGCGTAGTGGGGGAGTCCAGAGATGATTTTTGCAGAGTGGGTGCACCCAAAAACTCATGCCGAGGGGCCTCCGAAGGCTCGCGGTGTCAAGCGTGGTGGAGGCATGGTGGGGGTGGGTTCTGGGACGATCTTTGCGTAGTGGGTGGTGGCCCCATAGTTCAGGCCCAGAGGCCTCCCAAGCCTAGCGGTGTCAGGCGTTGTGGAGGCATGGTCGTGTGGGTCTGGGGACGATTTTTGCAGAGTGAGCTGCCTCCAAAAAAGCAGGCCCAGAGGCCTCCAGAGGCTGGCGGTGTCAGGCATGGTGGAGTGTCAGGCGTGGTGGTGGCGTGTGTGGGGGGGTCCCTCACGATTTTTGTATAGTGGGTCCGTAGACACAGGTTTCTTGGAGGTTTTTGGGGGTTTCTTGGACGACCTTTTGGAGGCTTTTTGGGGGCCTGGAAGCTTTTTTTGGGGTCTCTTGGAGGCTTTTTTGGGGGGTCTCTTGGGGGCTTTTTTGGAAGACCTCTTGGAGGCTTTTTTGGGGGTCTCTTGGAAGACCTCTTGGAGGCCTCTTTTGGCTTTTCGGAGCAGTCTGAAGGCCTCCTGGGGACCTCTGGAGGGACCTCTGGAGGGCTCGGGGGCGTGCATGTTTCGGGGGCCATCTTAGGGTGGAGGTTCCCAGAAGGGCCCCCCTTTCGTGTCCCCCCCCCTCGGAGCCCCTCTTGGGGGCCTCCGGGGCCCTCGTTGGGCCCTCTTCGGGGCCTCTTGGGCCGTCCTGGACGTACTTAAGACCAACAGAAACATTTTTTCAGTGTGTGCTTGTTCTCTTGGGCTGGTCCCCAGGGCTTCAAATATTGCCGAAGAGGCCCCGCAAGAGAGCCCCGGGACGCCGCCTTGATGCCATCTAATTACGTGGGAAGGACTACCCAACCACGCTCCCAAGGCCTCTGGAGAAGTCACGAAGCAAGCACTGGGATCGCCCAACAATTCCAGGGACCCGAACGAGCTCGGTGACCCTTGATGAGTAGGTACAACGGGTGTTACTCCACTCAGTGCTTGCACGGTGGCGGATGTAAGCCCATGTGCCACAGCACCGTCTATTCGCGGATGTGTGTGGTCCTCTGGCTCTTTCTGGCCTGCCTCCCCCAAAGGAGGAGAGGGAATATTCGGTCGCCCCACCTCCCTCTGTCCTCCTCGGTCCTCTTTCGCGTTCCTCCTCCTCCCTTCCTCTCTTCCTCCCTTCCTCCTCGCCTCCTCCTCCCCTCCTCCCAGAAGCTCCTGCTCAACACATGTAAGAGTCTTCTGGACCCCCCGCGAACCTCGAAGATCCCCCTGTCCTCCTCCTTCCTCCATCCTCCCCGTTCTCCCCCCTTCCTCTCCTCCTTCCCTTCTCTCCTCCGCCTTTCCTCCTCCTTCTCCTCCTCCTCCTCCTCGGGCTCACCCCACAAGGAGAAGTGCGAGAACGTCCAGTCGTTTGTGCTCCCGTCCAACAGCTTCAACAACCTGCTCTGGGCGCCCGAGGGCCCAAGCCTCGGGGTCAAAGAGCGCATTCTGTGGACGCTGGGAAGCGGGGGGTCGAACCGGGGGGGCCCGCCCCCCTTGGTATGCAAGGGGGGGGTTCGAAGCAGGGGGGCCCCAGGGGGGGGGAAGTCGAACGGGGGGGGGAGCACCCCCTCGGGGGTGGGGGTCGAACCTGGGGGACCTCCCCCTCCCCCTCCTCGAGTAGAGTTGCATGGAGGGGGGGTTCGAAATGGGGGGGGCCCCTCCCGAGTTGCAAGGGGGGCGGTTTGAACGAGCGCCGGCGCCTGCGCCGGCGCCGCTGAGCAGCGACGACGAGGGCTCCCCCTCCTGCAACCGACGACGGCGAGCGCCGGCGCCAGCGCCAGCGCCGTCGCCGTCGGGCAGCGACGAGGACGACGACAACGGTGATGGTGAGGCTTCTTGATGCCTCTTGGAGGCAGTTCTGAGGCGTGCTCGTCTCGAGGCTGTTGGAGGCTATCCTGAGCCATGCTCAGCTATCCTTGGCCTCTTGGAGGTCTGTTGGAGGCTCATTATCTGGTGCCATCCTAGACCTCCTGGGACCATCTTGGGAGGAGGAGGAGGAGGAGGAGGAGGAGGAGGAGGAGGAGGAGGAGGAGGAGGAGGAGGAGGAGGAGGAGGAGGAGGAGGAGGAAGGATGGAGGAGGAGGAGGAGGAGGAAGTGGAGGAGGAGGGGAGGAGGAGGAGGAGGAGGAGGAGGAGGAGGAGGAGGAGGAGGAGGAGGAGGAGGAGGAGGAGGAGGAGGAGGAGGAGGGAGGAGGAGCAGGAGGAGCAGGAGGAGGAGGAGGAGGAGGAGGAGGAGGAGGAGGAGCACCTGGCTCGAGCATGAGACTGCCTCCAAGGTGGCGCCAGGGGATCGGGGGGGCCGCGGGCGGATGTCTGCTATTCGAAGGAAGCAGCTCAGTGGGGATCTCCATTGTGAAAATCCGTGATGACGGCTGGCCTCGAGACAGAAAGTTTCATCAGACAGAGAAGGCCCAGAGCCTTTCGCGCGCAGGTGTTTGGCGTCCCTGCGTCCGTATCAGCACCGCCATCCGCAACGCCAGTATCTACCTGGCTTACTTCATGCAGTACGGGCAAGGCACTACGTCTCCGACGAAAGTGGCATGCCTGCAACGCCCCTCAGAGGCCATCATAACTTCGCATTGGAGTACTAAACGTGCAACAGATGTCTTGGACTCAGATTATGTATCGCAGCATGCTGGCCCACATCGTGACGTGTATGCGCGCCGAGCGAGCACACATTATGTTTCTGTCGGATGTGAATGCTCCAGAGTGGATTTTCGGAGGAGAGAGGACGCCAGCGATCTTTGGCATGGAGGAGTACACCATGTTTGTCTTTGGGAAAGTGGCCTTCATTCTATCCAGATACCTGGTGAGCAAGTGGCAGCAGGATGGTTCCGTGATGGCAGTGGCACCATATTCCGATCGATGGTTGGGGATGCGTTTCCGTCTTCAGGGGTGTCAGTCTGTGATCTGTGCGCAATACGTACCGACGCAGGGTGCCAGGCTCCAGAGGAAAGTGCATTTCGAACAGGGAACCCTTCTGCTCCAGAGTCTTCGGAGATCGGGCTGCCAGATCATCATAGGGGGCGACGCGAACTCTCACCTCGGGGCAGACCAGCGAGGGCACCAGAGTCAGGGCTTTGTGGGTGCAATGACCTTGCAGACCCCGACGTCGAAGATGTCGTACCAGCTTATCGAGTGGGCCCAGGGGGGGCGTCAGAGCTGTGGATTCGTTTCTGCCGTGCAAAAGACGGGGGACCTGGTTCCATGGAGTTGCCAAGGAATGGTACGAGCAGGATATCTTTCTGTCTACGTTTGGGGGATCGAGGCGGAGGTGGAGGAGACTCACCACGAAAGAATTTGCGGGGTGCGACCATCGGGGCAAGTTTGCATCGTTCCTGCCGTTCGGTCGGGCTCTTCTTCCAGGGCGTCGGCAGCTTCAGCACCCTCGCACCGATCAGCCCCAAAAACCGCTTCGTTGGGACCGAGCTCGGGGGCCAGGGGAAATTGCAGTCGACCTAAGACAGCAGTGGGAGCAGAAGCTGGCGGTAAACGATACGGAAAGGGCGAGCCAGCCTTATGTAGTGACCGAGTGTGGTGGTGGGGGGGGGGGGGGGGGGCTAGTGTCGAGCCTCGCCGAAGTCGCCGAGCAGATAGTCGGTCAAGGGTCCCGCAGAAGCGATCTCCCGTGTCTCGAAAAGTGTCGACCCGAACTCCTCCAGAGCCGAGATCGAGTAGCCGAGAGTTATCGAATAGTGCAGCAGGCCAAGGGGGGGCTTCGCGAGCGAGAAAGCCAGGCACGCCCAGGTCAAGAAGTCCGAGAGGGGTTCCGAGTTTCGGAAAAAGGGGGAGGTGATAGGCGAGCCGTGTCGCGAGATCCAGTGGGCCTACACGAACCACGAGGTAGGAAAGCAGTGCGGCCTGCTCAAGGATCTAGGGGTCAACCTCAGGGACACCAATTTCCAGGGCGTCGAGACGATCAATCCCGAGGACTGTCGACAGCACTTCGAGCAACTCAGTGGGGCCCAGGCCCTCCCGAGAGTCCAGGTGGCAGCCCATCGAGACCAGAAACCGTCCGTCCAGGAGTTAGGTTTGATGCTGACGTTCGACGAGTTCGTGCGCGCGATGCAGAACATGCGTGTCTCGGCGCCAGAGGGGGGGGGAGGGGGCGAGGTGGCCATATATATATATATATATATATGCTCCGCAGTGCTCCGATCTCCACGCAGATGCGAGTGCTCGAACTAATCTGTGCTATGTGGGAGGAGGCAGGATGGAGTTCAGCCGCGCTGGAATGCAGCCGCGCACCAAGCAGTAGTATTGATGCTATGGGAGCAGAAGGGGTCTCGAACATCGCTAGACAATTATCGGGGGATCTGTCTACTGACGATGCTAACTCGATTGATAGCCAAGATAGCGATCAGACGAGCTACCAAGTACTTCGAGGCTCAGGGGATGTTTGTCAACGAGCAGTGGGTTTTCGGAAGGGGAGGCCGGCTCGGGATATCATTTTTGTCGCGCGTGCGATCTGCGAGCTGCATGCCGAGTGGGAGCTGCATCTGCACAGGTCGCGGGCAGCTCGCGAGCGAGCAGGCGCGTGGGAGCAGCATCGGGAGAAGTGGGAGACCGAATACGCCCTGTTCCAGAAGAAACGGGCTATGTTGTTCCTTGCGGATATCAAGCAAGGCTACCCCACAGTGCCGCGGGGACCGTTATGGGATGCCCTGGGGATCGAGGGGCTACCGCCGACGCTCGTGGCCGTGTTTCGCCGCCTACACTCCGAAACCGAGTGCCAAGTCAAACTTAGGCACGGGACCTCCAGTACTTACCATCTCTTTCGTGGATTGCGCGAAGGTTGCGCCAGCTCCTGTGGTTTGTTCAATGTCTATCACAACTATTCCTTGAGGGAGCTGCTGGGCGCCCTGCCTGGGATTCGGCTGCAGTGCTCGACGCGACTGAGGTGTGCGATGGGGCGGCGACCATGGCGAGATCTCGACGCCGAGGTCCAGAGGGTGATCCGTGTGATGGGCTTTGCGGACGACGCGTCGTCGTGGGCCGAGGCCCAGCGCCTCGAGACCACCAGGCGCATGGTGTTCGACACTCTGGGCGGCCGTGGCGAGGATGTGCATCCTGGCAAGGGCGAGTTTTTGCAGGCGGGCGTGTACGACGAGAACGCGGAGCTGCCAGCAGGGTTCCGCCACACCGTGCGCGTGCTAGGCGCGTGGGTCGACACCGATGGCGGCGCCAGGACGGACGCGGTCAAGAGGATTCAGGCAGCGTCCAAGGTCTGGGCCAAGCTGAAGTACCCGCTGAGCACCTCCAAGCTGCCGCTGAAGGTTCAGGGCCAGGTCTTCACCGCCGCTGTGATAGGATGCTTGCTGTACGGGAGCGAGGTGCGTGCGTACTCTGCCAGGGGCATCGAGCGTTTGCAGTCCTTTGTGGGCAGCTGTGCACGTTACTTGAGCTATCGAGCTCGAGGTTTGACGCTGAGGGAGATGGAGGCCAGGAGGATCAATATGACGATGATCTACGAGTGGTTGGGCATCGAGCTGGTCGAGGTGCAGATCGCCCACCGTGCGATCTCCTACCTGGGGCATCTCGGCCGCTACGACGACAGTCGTTGGGAGGTGCAGCTTCTGGGCGCCGCGCTTGCCGACAGACCAGGGCGAGCCGAGCCGTCAGGCCAACGCCTTCACCTTCGACAGTGGTACTGGCGCCTGCTCCAACTGGTGATGGCCAAGACGACGATCCCCGAGGTCGAGTGGCACGCTCGCTGGCGCGAGACCGCCAGGGCCGAGGCCGGCAAGCTCTGGGCGGAGTTGGCGGCGAAGGTCAAGTCGGAGGCGCACGCCCGCGCGTGCTCCGCCGCCAACGCCGAGGTCGGGGACTGCCCGTGCGTCGAGGACCCCCAGCAGGCGCAGCGGGTGAAGGTGAAGGGCCATGGCGGAGCGCCGCTCCGTGTTTGCCCAAGGTGTGGCGACCACCTCCACCCGAATGGGTATGCCAAGCATGTTCGACATTGTTCAGGTCAGTTTCGACAAGAAAAACAGCGCCTTGTGTCGTCATCCAAAGTGTACCCCCATTGCAGCGTGGTCATCTCCAATCGATCTTATGCCGATCATGCTCGACGGTGTGCGAATCGGGTCCACCTCCCAGGAGTGAACAACGTGAGAAGAAGGATGCGTGGCAAGCAGCCTGCGCCCCAACAGCCTCCAGTGGGGCCCCCTCCAGGCCTCGCCCAAGCCGCCGCCATTGGGGGGGCCGAGAATCGCCGATATCGAGGAAAGCAACCCCCACGAGCAGAGCCCCAAGGTCATGGACATGGGCCCCCGCAGCAGGATCCCCAGCCGAAGGCTCCTCCCAATCGTGGTCGTCGTCTGGCCAGAGCTACTGCCAAGCCGAGGGCGAGGAAACAGGTGAGCGTGCAAGGAGCGACCTTCACATGCAAGTACTGTGGGAAGTCGGTGAGCACGCTGGGCCACATATATACGTGCGCGCACGCGCCGTTCGAGGTCTGGGTGAAAGGTGTACGGCGCAGAGCAGCTCGTCGGAACAAACAGTACTCCTCGGCAAGTATCGAAGACAGGAAACATCAATGCAAGTACTGCAACACCAAGTTCGAGAAACAGCACTGCTTGACGCAACACTTCAAGACATGCCAACATCATCGAAATATAGCAGGCATGTCGTTGTAAACGCAGCTGTATGTGCTCGAGCCCATCGTGAGCTCCTTGAACCTCGTACCCCGACGGACCCGGCCTCCCGCCGCATGCTCTTGGCGATTACTCTTGGTGATAGTCAGAGGTCGGTCGCTTTAAAGTGTACGATGGAGTTGTTACAGAAGCAGTTGGGGGCGGTGGAGGAGACGAAGCAGGAGGATAAGATCTTGGTGGCCCAGTGCGCCTCGCTGACTCCGTCTGCCCTGGACCTCTTCCTTTCCCGTGCCAGGCCTCGTTTACCCGACGTTCATGATGCGTGAGCAGTGCGATCCACAAATCAGATCCAAGTTGAAAGAGCTGGTTGCCTTTCGGAATGCGAAGTTTTCTACGTGTCCTCTCAGCACACCCATCGACGGCCCGCTGACGAAGTGGCTGTCGAAGTTCAAGAATGAGGGAGCTGATGAGGAAGACGGAGCTGCTGATGGTTTCGGGGCCGCGTAAGGCGAAACACCGACGGGGGGGGGCCGCACCAACCCTTCACGGAGGGCCGCGGGAGTCTCAGCCGAGACCCTGGCGGAGCCCATGAAGTTCGATCCAAGCTACTTCTCTGAGGGAGGGGAGTGCCCGCCTACACTTTATTTTTTCGTGCGTGACACGGTGGCGATTACAGATACTGACTTGGAATCGGTGGTGTCTGATGGGGGGCGCTCTTCTATTTTCAATGGGATGATGGGTGGCCGTGAGAGGGCCTCACTGCCGTTTTCACTCATTGGTGTTTTGCGGGAATGGAGTCTACCAGAGATATGCCGTGTACGGGGTCTTCGTCGGCGTGGGTGTGCACATGATCTGAGGGGATGCGGATCATCCAGGCGGGGCCTCCCTCCCTCTGCCCTCCTCCTTTGGCGGGGCTCTCGCCCCAAGCGGCGGGGCCTTGCAGCCGTGTGCAGGAGGGCCGCGTAGAGGGGCGTGGCGCGGCTCGGCCCAGAAACGAGGGCCGCTTCGAGTCGTTTTTCGAGGAGCAGGAGCAGGAGCAGGAAAAGGAGGAGGAGGAGGAGGAGGAGGAGGAGCTGGAGGAGGATGATGATGAGGAGGAGGAGGAGGATGAGGAGGAGGAGGAGGAGGAACATGAGGAGGAGGAGGAGGAGGAGCAGGAGGAGGAGGCGGGAGGGAGGAGGAGGAGGAGGAGGAACAATCATGATAATAATAGTGCTAACATTATTCACAAGAAGAACAATTGTAGCATCAGCATATTCATACGAACGCTACTATCTATAGTATTTGTCATACTAAGAATAAACATAGTAACACTGATAAGACTAAACAACTGCGATTCATATGACTAATACGAATCGTAATACTCAGGCTAATCCTGATAACACCAGCAATAGTAAGACTCATATCACGAATGCTAATCATACTAATAATACGTGATGTAATAAGAGCACAAAGAATAATACTTTCATCATACTGTTAGTAATTAAAAGGAGATTGCGAATAATATAAGCAGTACTAATAATGATACCACTAATCATAAGAGGAGGAAGAGCAGGAGCAGGAGCAGGAGCAGGAGGAGGAGGAGGAGGAGGAGGAGGAGGAGGAGGAGGAGGAGGAGGAGGAGGAGGAGGAGGAGGAGGAGGAGGAGGGAGGAGGCAGGAACGGAGGAGGTAAGGAACGGACAATGACAATGAGGATGGGAAGTCGGGCTTTGGAGATATGTTGTTGCGGTTCTTGAAGGACGATTGAGGCTATCTTAGGGGTTCTCTTGTGGTCCCTGTGGGGCCTCTTTGGGCACTCGTGGGGCCCTCTTGGGACTCATTTTGAGGGTCCTGGGGCCTTCTTAGGGCTCATTGGGGGGGGCCTGGGCGTGTGGGGGCCAAACATGCGCGCCAGCTTGAATGACATCTTGGGCATGTTTGAGGTTGCGGAGTGGAGTGTTGATTGAGGGGGTCGCCCAACCCCTCCCCTCAATCGCGATATCAGACCTTGGGGGATGGGGAAAGGGGGGGGGGAGAGTCAAGTCTCTCGCACGCCTTTGCACCCCCGGCAAGCGGGGGTCGCATTGATTGGTCTGACAGTAGGCGGCCATATATCGAGAGTTCTGTGGCCCCTGGGTTGAGACAGGGAGACAAGCACGGCGTCGAAGGTAAGCTCTGGGGAGACTCCCCCCACGAGTGCCGGCGAGGGCGCCGCGCTGGCTGTGGCAGAAGGGTGGGCGAGGATGAGGAAGGCCCCTCCCCCTCTCCTCCCCGGACATTCGACGTCACGACCTCTCGGTCCCATTCTGGGGACTTTCCTTCTGATTCGTTTTTTTTTATGGTGCTGTTGCCCAGAAATGGTTT